AAGAATTTCAGTCACTTTCTTTCCAATTTTTCATTAGCCACCGTTGGATTTATCGAGCAAACGTCAGCCATTACTGTCTTTTATCTGCAAACCGCTCCTCCTCCGCTTTTCGAACCTGATGACGCACCACATCATGGCGTCATCCCATCAAAACAATCCCTTAACGACGTACCTTCGGCGATGTTCTTCAGATACACATGTGGCCCACACGAATGGCTAAAGCAATGCATCAGATTTCAGCAGCGAATTGATGAAAGGCTATGCTAAACGTGCAACGTCTTGCACCGACATGACGTCGTTGGTAATTTCGGGGGTTCTATGAATGCACTTCTCAATTTGGCTTGAGTTCATACCGCATTTACACACCTTTACCACGACAAAACACTTGACAAATGGGTTTTTACCAATTCATTATCCATCTAAGCAATCTTCTTCAACGACTTTCACTTCTGCCCACAGAGGTAACTAAATTGGTTGTTTATTTATCTTTCGATATTCCACCAAGCGCCCTTTCGCGCCCTTCCACCAAATACGTTGGCAGCAATCAGCCGCCTCAAGCCACTGCAAAAAAAACTTGTCGCATTTTGGGGTCTTAATAATCTTGAGGACGTGTTAAACTGAGATCACCGTCCTTTGGCTTAGTCCATTAACATTCAACTCCAAGGATCCTCCCTCCTTTGGACTCACGCTAGTCTTCATCACCATTACGGTACTTGCAGTGTTGCACAGAGAGTCCTTTGGAGGCTTCTTCCTCAAGGTTATTGCGCATAGTTTAGTTTTTGCGTAGCCAAGTGTCTCATGCGAGCTGTGGAGTGTCCGATGTAATTGTGTACGGGTGCCGGTCATAACCTAGAAAGTAAGGTATATTAGCACATTTCATGGGGACAGTTCGGCGACGGGGGGGGAAGGCATTTTGCTTTCTATCGATGTGCCGACCCATATATTAGGTCATCCCATTCAAAAGTGCCGAGACATATAGAGGAATGGCAGAAAAGCAAAGGGGATAGGGAAGCGGGCTACTATACCATTTGGAGGCTAGTACCTTAGCTGTGTATCTGTGAAATTTGGCGAACCTACCCACAGAAGAAGTTCTCGAGAAATTGAAAAGAAGCCCGAGTGGTGAAAATCAGCGCCGATTTTCAAATCAGACGTCATAAGAGGAAAGTGCGCTGCTCAAATTGCGCCGGACCAGTAGTTGTGTGTAATGGTGTTCTCGAAATACAAGGTGGAAGGTTTGGTTCAGGAGCCCGAAGAAGGAAGAAAGGAAAAAATTTGTTGTCGTGGATGGTCCCATAATGTTCATCCTGCACAAGAAAAAAGGGTGGATGAAGTTCAGGCGCTGAATTGTCTGATTCTACAGAGCCTGGACCTTTGTCGAGCTTCCCCGCGAGTCTGACATCCCAGCTGCAACTGCTGCCCGAGTTATGTCGATAAACTGAGGATGGTCAAGAGGGTGTGCGCATGGGTACCCAATTTTCTTGTAGAAGCACGAACGCAGTACCTATTCTCTGCCTCTAGCAGTAATGTTCTCAGCATGAGATGTCATTCACGACTGTGAAAACGCACCCAGGCCTTAGATGAAATATGGGTGGTCTCGGACCTCGAGCCGAAACTCACAATCGTCAATTTTGTATGAATGCAGATGAGAAGCCGCCCGAGTTCTACCATGAAGAGTTACGTGGGCGCAAGTGGATGATCATCATAGCAAAGGATTCCCACACTGTGGCTTTCAAGCGGCTCTATACAGAGAACAAATCCGTCACTGTCGGTGCATATTGCCTGTTCCTCGGCATTCAGATCGACAAATGGATGCTACCACACAACTACAAGAAGGCCACCGTTGCTCGTCATAGTGCCAGACCCCGAGTAACTGTATTGTAGGGCAGTGCTGGGACACAAACAATACTGAGACCTGGGTTCAATCGCCCCATTCGCCCGACATAAAGCCGAGCGATTCCAATTGTTCTCGTCAGTCGAGAGTACTCTCCGACGGCAAACGCTACAATGTTTTGTCATTCGCCGAAATTGGCATCAACAGCAATTTACTCGCACTTGTTGAAAAATCGAAGGTACCAGAGGTCCAAAGGCTTTCGGGGCACTGGGAGCGGGTCATTGGTGAAGGAGGGATTTACTTAACTTGAAGCCAAAATATTACTTTTTTATCTATTCTCCTCTTTGTTTTATTCGAATAAAACCGACGGCACTTTTGAATGGGATGACCTAATAGATAGCCTTTCCTTGAGTTGACACGTTTCTACCATGGTGGCTAGACGAGCTTGCTCCAGCTTCACAAGAGTTCACAAGTTTCACCAGAGTGAGACTTGTAAACCGGAAGTAGTGAAGCAGTGAAAGTGCAAAATGCCCTCCCCCCCCCGCTGAACTGCCCCCATTCCATGTTATCCATAACCAGGGTTGGAAACTATCTACTATAATCCAAAACTGTGTGCACGTGAAAAACTCTAAGAAACGGGCTTTATGGGTCAGTTCAGCTGCCAATCAGGAACGTGAGCTCTACGGCATGCGTGGGAGTTCCTCATGAGGTACATATGAATATGCACACACTTATTCTCTATTAGACCCGCCTCGACAACGTCAGCGAGCGCCTTTTCTATTAGACCAATTAGTTGGCGAAGTCGTGATGCCACATTTCATCGGCGAGCTTAGCAGGAGTTCCATTTTGTGAAGTATATCCTTTGCTGTGGTATTTCGAGATTCAAAGTGGCTCTACTTTCTTTTGTTCTCATGCATTTTCATATCCAGGTGGCCAACTCGAGGAGAGGTGCCCCTTTCCCAACTGACAACCTTCCAAATTTTGCAGATGATATCCTGCTCGTTAGCGATTTACTCTGTCTTTCTTGTAATCTATCAGATATCAGATTTCTTGTAGTCGCTTGAACGCTTTATTTATTTAGTTA